GAATTGGTTTCTATATTTCTTTAGGATTTCCTTCCTTATTTAAGTAAGCATTAGGAGTCTAGCAACTATCATGATAGTTTCCTTATTTAGTCAGGATTAGGAGTCTATTCTGGTACTAATATAAATAAGTCTCATTTCTTAGTCTTTAGTATCAAAACTATAGTTAAAGTAAACATCAAAGCCTTCAAAACTTCTCTTCCCGTCCTCCATATCTAAAATTCAAGTGTCAGTTCCATATCTCGCTCATAAAAATAGAGGCAATACAAGACATGTGAACTTGCCCTAAATTAAAGTGAAAATCAATAACGATATTCTTACGCCTTAGTTATCACTTATAAGGTTACCAGGCCTTACACCATTTAATCAAGATCAGTCTTATATTCTTTACACATAGGGGTAACACATCCATGATGTAAATGTTGAACTCGGTCTCACTAAATTTCTTTACACAAATCTACATTACAAAAACTATAAACCAGAGGACAATGGATTAAGGAGGAAAAAAGTTGAGGGGAAATATTGAACTGTGGCATGCTTCTAATTTCATATCCAACAGCATAACAAGGTCCAAAAACTAAAACTCAAGTTAAACCACCCACAGAAAGGAGAGAACCATACCAGCTTATTCTCAACAAATACCAACGCATGGCAAGAAGCCAGGATTTCTACTGTTCGCACAGGCACTTTACTCATGTCAGATTCCAAATCTGTAGTTTCTGTCAACCCAACCAGTCCGGAAAATTCCTATAAATGGGGATGAATGTGTTATAATGCAGAACATGGTCTAATATGATAAATAAATATCAAATGTTTTATATGGGTATACCATGTCATCAGATGTAAGTGTCCCAGTCTTGTCAAAACAACATATATCAACCTATAGACAATGTAGGAAGTTCAATAAAAACCAATGTCAGCATCTGATCTATGATCTATATTTGACAAAGAAAAGGAAGTGCAATAGAAAAAACATAAACCTCCAGTTACCTTCCCAGCAAATGGTATCCGAAAAGGTTCTGTGCAAAAAATTCCTCGGCGTGCAAGTGCAATCAGAGAAGTATTAACAGCTATAGATAATTCCATTGGTAACTCGGGAGGTATCACAGAAGTAACAATAAGAGAACAGTTTAGTATAAGTTTATACTTGCTCCTTGAGGGGTCTTCTAGCCCCTGCAGCAGATATCATTTAAATTTTAGCAAGTCAGATCACAAATTGCAGTAAAAACCAAACCATATATTTAACACTCATCAGTGGGGAAGCATTACCTTAATAAACACGTAACCAGCCGCAATTAGAGCAAATACAACCAAGAATAAAATGAACAGTCCACTTTCCCAGCTATTAGCAGTCACCTGCAATTTGTCAATTCAGAAAGCAGGAAAAAAAACCAAATTCAGCAAAATGAGACCGAAAATATGTGTTAGGGATTAATAAAGTCTATATCAATTTACCCTTTCCGTAGAGAATAAGATTGTCCGCATCAACTTTCCTTGACTTGTTTCAAACCCAGTTCTAAGGGACAACAGCCAAGCAGCCACCATCAGGTGTTTTTAGAGAGAAGGTCTGTCTCCAAAAAGATTGTTAAAAACAAAAAGGATAAGAAGCATGAACATTAGTTCAACTTTAAATGAAAAATATATTTTTTCAGCCTGAAATAACCTTATCTGGAGAGTGCTGCAATATTTTGGTTCCACCGTATAAAACATGGGTTTTATCTCGCTTTGCTGACAACTTCTCCTCCATACCCCTACCCGCAATAGAAATCTAAAAGGAAGATCAGTTCTAAATGAGAATCGGCGAAAATAACATAAAAGGCTCCAGTGCTTGGATATGCTTGACAGCTATAAGATTGAAGATATATTATTCCAGCCTTATTCCATGGGAATGAGGAGTTCAAGGATGATAAAGAATTCACAAAATGAGCCTCATAGTTACATGCACATAACACAAGTAAACATAGACATGCAAATAAAATTAAAATTTTGGTAAGAAAAAATGAAACAAAAATTGTACGTTTTATTGTAATTATATAGCAATCAAATCACATCACAGTAGGCATATAGTAAATAAAGAAAGACATGAGGCAAAAAATAGCATCGCACAATTGGAGCCCCAGGCAAGTAAAGGTCAAACAAAAACCAAGCAAAATGTTTCATCATATCTGTCTAAGCAAGTGGCTAAGCATGATGGGTAAAAAACAATAGACAGACAAAACAAGTCTAAGCTTGGAGCAAAATGTTTCATCATGTTAGCAATATTTGTCTAAACAAGTGGCTAGACTGCAGGACATACTCAACAAGCAACCACGGTCAACCATGTCCAAACCAGCAAAACAATTATATTAAATTTTGGTGATCAAACGCAAATTCATTACATATTCAACCACGGTCAACAATGTCCAAACTAGCAAAACAATTTAAACATCACATATTTATTATTGATTAGACATAGATGATGAAAAGAGAAACACCTTCCATTGAGGAGTAGACTCGCCTGTGAGAATAGCTTCATTCACAATTTGCACTTCCAGCCAATATAAGCATGTCTGCAGGTACAGATTTCTCCTCTCCATTCTGACCAGAAGAACGGCCTATAGAGACAACATCTCCTGGCAAAAGGTCTGTACCGGAGAGTTTTACCCATCTATAATAAGCACAATATACAAGAAAGCATTAAAATCGCAATGCATTAAACTCAAAAACGAGCTTGCTAGTGATGAGATAACATACTTGCCACCACGATGTACCATAACAATCTGATTATCCACTCTAACACGTCTTAACTCAGTCAGAGTCCTTAACCGACTTTTTGCCATGGTCGACTCAAACATAAATAGCATAAATAGAGTGAACAAACTATAGTACCAATATTCATCCAAACACCAGAGACCAACACAAAAAACCTGATCATAAGCAAGAACCAGTCCAAATCAAAAGTTAGAATGAAGACCCAAACACAAACAAGAGAGAAAAATAACATCAAAGATCTACCTGAAATACGAAAAAAGGTTCCATGCAATGCTCTTTCATCAATTTCTGAAATGTTGGCTGAGGATAATCAAATCTAAAAGATCAACCAGCAGAACATTAGAGAAAAAAACTAAAACATAATCCTAAGAGAACAAATGAGAAAACATGTTATGAGATAGACAAAAGTAGTTAATAATATCACAAATACCAAAGTATAGGGTTGCGTCTAAAACATGTATAATTCATAAATATTGTATGAGCACAAAATTTCAATGACACTATAATTTCACCACAATCCCGTACTAAAGCGAAGTAAATGGATATGGAAAAAATGGCGATGGTGATAAAAGTAAAAGGACACCCACACATTCCGCCCCCATTTCTCGGTAGCCGCAAGAGCTTTGGCTTCAGATCCATGGCCACTACACTTGAGATAATGTCCAAATGTTTCCTTCGTAGGATAAGAGAGTTTGTTAAAAGTTCCATTCTCCTTCGAATAAACAAAACATTGTTTTCTAAAATCAAAGTAAATCTCTTCCAGATCCACTGTTGAAGAACCTGCAGACTGCACAACAAAATACTTAAGCATGGTAGACAACTAAAGCAAGAACTTTTGAAGAAAGAATAAAACAAGAAAAATAAACTAAACAAAACAGAGTCAGTAAGACAATCAGAGTTGTCAAATATCAATATCGGAAAATAGCGGATCACCAAAAAACCGATATGAGAAATATCGGATCGCGTAGCGGGCAAATAGCGGAAGCCGCAAAGCGGTTAAAATAAATATTTATATAGAAAATAAAACACGCCACACAAATAAAAACTACATTTAAACTGAAAATTTCAAGTTTCAACAACTAAAACAGATAGCTAAAAACAGAAATTTAAAATGAATTAAAACTCAAAAAGTTAAGTAGTTCAAACTATCAACTAATAGTTCTTCTAAGTCTAACTAATGATAAAAGATTTAACTATTCTCCTTTTACCCTTCCCCAACATAATCATTATTCTCATTTTCAGATAGTGAGGCATATCATTCAGCTTCTTCAATTGAATCATCTAAATCAATAACCTCAAATTCTGCTTCTGATTCTACGATGACGGGATCTTGTACTTCAATCACTTATTGCTTTCCCTTCCAAGATAAAGAACCACCAACCGACTTCTTCTTTGTTTTAGATGAAGTGCCAACATTAGGGTTGGGAGTTACTTTTCTCTTTTTAGTTGTTTGCCTAGTATATCTTGTAGGCTCTCCAACTCCTGAAACTCCATAAACAGCTTCCCAATTAAGGGATCCTCATCGACTCAGTAGCCCACATTTTCCTTTTTCAATGTTTCCACCTCTTTAGATTCTACTTTTCCACCTCTTCACCTTACCCTCCTTACACCTTACCCTCTTTAAAGTTTTTTAAAATGATCTGTTATAAAAAATAATAATAAAAATATTGCTTCCGATATTCCATTCATAACCGGTATACTGGAAAAGCGCCGATATTGCAAGCATTGCAGAATTGAAATGTTATACCGGCTTTCGTATCAGATAGCCAAAATTCCAATATGCAATACCGGTATACCAGCGCTATACTGGATATTATATTTGACAACACTGATTGACCTCAACTGCTACCTACCCTCAACTGGATAGTTTTAAGTATATATTCGATGCACAAACTCACCCCTCATCAAAGAAAAACAACAGCCATGGAAGCAATAGATGAGACAGCTCACTGGCATGTAACTATACATTAGCAACCTAACCTTAAACACTAGCAATATACACTTCTCATAAATTTCAATATAGTTTTCTCCTCTTAAATCCTGTATACCAAATCCTTTTATTTTATCTTTCAAATCAAAGGGAAGATCTCAAAAACTACTCTTCTTTTTCTAATCAAAGGGAAGATCACAAAAACTCATGTGTAGCTACTGTAAGTTCCGAAACACACTCAAAAAAAGATTGGAGATTAAAGTATAAACAGTTACAGAGATCATACTCATCATCAAGTTAATATTTTTCAATATATTTTTCAATTAGTAAATTCAAATCTAAAATCATTTACCTCTCACCATTACAATACAACACCCATTAAAACTTCATAAGAAGAACCTAGTAAAAAAACTTACTGATTTCCGGGAATTAAGCGGCACAACTTCTTTAGAACCACAAAACTTAGCCGGAGTAATCTTACACGAATCAGCCTGATCAATATTTTTAACCTACACACAAACAAATTATAAGCAAACAAAAATTCCAAATTCATCAATCCACATAAACATTCCTTACTAAAAATCATACCTTGCTATAATACGCAAAACATTTGAAATCAACAGACCAAGCAGTGAAGAGACAAACGAGAATATGAATAGAAGACAGTGCACCTAAAACAATACACGCATCAACAAAATCAAGGCTGGGAAGAATAATTGAAACCCACGCGCCATAAAAAACGGCGAAAGGCCAGACGTCTAAGCGCCATAACAATTGCTTCTTCCTCAGTAAATCAACTTTGTCGACGACCTTGCCGCCGACGTGAAAAGTCGACATTGATCGGTTGAAGAGTGGAGAATTAGGGTTTGTAGATCTAATTGAAGATTTTGGGGAATGAAAAAGCGGTTTGGGTTTAACGCCTCGCCACTCGCGAGGATTTCGTCTCCGTTTTCGACTCTTCCCAACTAGATTCACTATCTAGTCTCTACTTTCATGTTTTCTTTTTCAATCTAGGTTTTTGTTATTCTTAAGAATTAATGTCCAATTTATAGTAAATTTTATAATAATGACTTTAACTTGTCCTTTAGGTTACATGCTAACAAACCATAAATAAAAAAATTTGTGATGAAAAAATAAAATAAATAAAAACAGTTAATTACAAACTTTTAATAAAATATTACAGAATATTTAATTTTAAAAAAATATATATATTTACCTCTTAACATGTGTCATTAGGGCACAACTTGGTATTGTTTTATTTTTCAATTTTTTTTTAAATAAAATTTGAAATTTAGGTTATGTTTGAATTATTAAATGAATTTGTGGAATGAAATTGGGTTAAGTAGAATCGAGCGGAGCATAATAAATATAATTTTATTGTATGAAAATTTTAGGATGTAATAAGATAAGTTATTCATTCTGTCTAAATCGGAGAAGAAGGAATATGATGGTAAGTGATATAAAGGAATGAAATTCTTACCACTCAATTTTGTTCTGCTCCATCCAATTTTAAATGACTCAAACAATGGAATACCATTCAATTCCATTACATTCTACTTCGCTTCATCTGATTCAATCAATCCAAACAAAACCTCTAAATAAAACTCGATGTCAGCTAGCGAAGTTCTTAACAATATGATTGAATATTAACGAATGAAGTATAATAAAGTGGAATTGAGTAGAGCATAGAAAATCAAAATGATGTTTTATTTAGAAACGTAAACAAAACTTGTACTCGCGGATATCCGTCCAAACTCGCCTTACATTTGACTGGATTTGAGTTTAGGTTTTTCCCGACTTTAAAAGATGGGCATAAGGTGGGCAGCGGGGCATTAGCACCCATCCCGAACTCACCTTTGAATATGTCTTGTTGATAATTTGAAATATTTTTTTTATAATTTAGAATATTAATTGTTTGGATCGTATATTAATATTGAGGTTTATCATTTATTATTTGAAATGTATGTTTAAAATTTTTAAGATTATTTTAAATTATTACAACTAATATTATTAATATTTATTAGAGTTCGTGACAAATTATGAATTTGAAGAAATTAATTATTTCAACTTTAAAAAATTAATTCGGATGTGGAGATATCCGAACCCATTTAGAACAGATTTTGGGTTTTAAATTTTTATCTTTGTTTTAATTTAGGGTGGAAAATAAATATTTAACTAAAATTTGAATTTGGATACGAAAAAGATAAAACTTGTTCTCGCTTCATCTGGTTATCATACCTAATTTTATTGGTTGAGTATTTCACGATGGAATAGCAAAATATTTATTTCGTCCAAGAAAAATAATGAAACTAGATGAATTTCATTTCATCATACATCTTTTTTTAATTAATACAGACAATAAAACATCTCCTTATTATATTCATTTGTTGTACCCCAACAATTTCCCTCTCACTTATCAAGAATTTGCTCACAAGATCTCCTTGGGCTCAAGAATGCACTAGGGTTTGATCAGCTCAAGACACCTTCTTATGCACTGATGACCAAAATTACGGTTTGAGTTTGCACAAAGATTTTTGAACTTCCAATGCCCCATATGACTTTCATAGATCATTATGGACCCCCAAGATTACTCATGTCAAGTTTCAAGCCTTGGATCACACTTTTGATCAGTCAATTGAACAGTTGACCTAAAAATCAACTATATTGGGGGGAAAGTCAACCATGGCCAACTTATAGTCAAACTTCATAATTTTTTATCCACATCAACATTTTAGACTCATGTGTATCATTTGATCAAGTTTGGACCATAATTCCTCAAGAAATTTGATCAAATCTCCAAAAGGGCAAAATGGTCAAAATTAGGGTTTTGACTGGGAAAGGGCAATTTCTGATTTTTGATCTAGCAAATGGTCAATTGGTTTAAGGCATGATCTCAAGAGTCCAATTGCATCATTTTGACCTAATGACGTGATTCAAAATATTGCAAATCCATTGGATTGACAGATGAATTTTGCAGTCAACTGATCAAAAGTCAACTATATATTGAAAAGTCAAACTTTGACTTTTTGGTCAAATTCAAGTGTCAAAGATCATAATTCATCAAAACATGTCAAAATAGGAAACTTATTCATCAAGAAATCAATAAATCAATATTTCATTTTGAAAAGTCAAAATTTCTAAACTTAGAAATTTTTCTAAGTGTTGAAAATTTCTTATTTTTTCATAACTTTGAGCAATTTTTTCATTATGATGCAAGATGATTCAAAGGAAACTTCTAACATGAAAGTTGATGATATCCATGAAATATACAATTTTTATTCACACAACTTCTCCTAAAAATTATTGGATCTCAAGTTATAATTTTATGAATACATACTCATGAACTAAAAAAGACTTGGTGAAATTTTGCCCTAGTTAGGCAGATTTTTGACCTAACTTCATGGCAATTTTTCACATAGTTCCAAGGGGAATATTCAAAAGAAATTCAAAGATGAGTTGTAGAACACATTGCAAGCTTTCCAAAATGTCCATGAACTCCTTGAGATCATTCTTGATTAGGGAGAATCGAAGAGATTAAGTTAGGATTTTGTCACTTGAATTACAAGTCATTTTGGTGATGAACAAAGTTCAATTTCAAACCTATGCTGCACAATCTTGTTTTGCAGGCTTCTAAACCTCGAGATCTATCCATAATAAGAAGATTACACTTGATTTTGAGCTATTATCCAAGTGTTCCAAGCATTGTCCAAGCCAATTTGCCTTTTTTGGAAGAAAGTTACCATTCCATTCTTGAAAAGTTGCTTTAATCAAAGTCAACTTGTCTTGAGCTTCTAACTTGTTCTTTCTGCACACACAACCCCTATAATCCAAAATCAAGGTGTCTAAGGCCTGAAGAAGCTCAGGACATGCTTGTACAACATTTGAGATTTGTCATTTCACTTTTCTTCAAAAGCAAGTTATAGAGCCATAACCCTATAACTCAGAAACTTTGAGTGATTTTGCGCTCTAATCTTTTCCATGCATATTAACAAGTTTATTACAAGCTAAGACACAATTTCAAGCATCCAAAAAAACTGTCCCAAACACCTTTGCTACACAAGACTGCTCAATTTGACAGTTTTGAGCCAAAACTCTCCATCTCCATTTCCACTCGTGCATTTTGATTCTTAATCATTCAAACACCTTACATACATCATACACAAGTGATCCAGGCCCATGTTTCAAGACTGTAACCCCTACATCACTATCCACCATTTTCAAATATCAAGCTTGCAGGTTGACTTGAGTAGGGAGATTCAGGGACTTTCAAAGTAAAGTAAGAGTTAGAATACACTCAAGGAGGTCCAGGCAAGCTAAACAGATCATCAGGCCATCTCCAAAGTTGCTCAAACTCCATTCACGACTCCAGCTGCAAAAGGTAAGTTTTCAAACTTCTATCTCTTCATACAGGCATCATTTGAGTTTGGTTTGTGAAGATAAAATGTAGATACCATTGCCACGAAGCTGTACATATCTATAATTTACATTTATATGGCCTGAGCTTAGGGAATTTTAGGGTTGAAGTTTTCTATAATTTTTAGGTTTTAAATTAGGGCTAGAAAAATTCTCATTCATCTTTAATTGTTAGCTTAAGTTGTTTATATGTTTGGATTCGTGGGGAAAAATGCCACAACTTTCATGTTTGAGCTTTTCATTTTTGTTGAGAGATGAAGAAGATATGAGTCATTTGGCTGGAGGTTGAAGATGAAGTCTTCAGAACACGTTTGGCCTTACATATTTATTGTTTCATTTATATAAACAGATGTATAACCACCTCAGTGGTAAGGCAGCGCGCTGGTAACCCAGAGGGCGTGGGTTCAACACCCAGCATGCTACCTTTTTCATTTCTCACAATTTTTTCACTTTTTTTGTTTCCAAACAAGCAACGCCTGGGCTTCCAGCTTGGGCCTGATGATGTTTTTTCTTTTACTAACCCCCTGATTTACTCGTGCACCCCTGGCCCAATTTCTTTTACTATTTTCTTTTTTTTATTATTTCTTCTTTAATATTTTTATTTATTATTATTATTATTACTATTATTATTATTCTCATTAAACATGAAAAAATAAAAAATAAAAATTTATTTACTCTTATTCATTTTATTTTCTTATAAAACAAAAAATATTAAAAACATTTTCTTTTAACAAATTAATTTCTCTTTTAAATAATTAAATATTTAGACTTAGGTTTAATAATTATTTTATTTTCTTAATTAAAATTAATTTAGAATTTAGTTTTCTTTTAATTATTTAATTTTTACTTTTTATTATTATTTAACTTAAAACCCTTTTTCTTCATAAAAACCCAAAAAAATCTTTTTAATTTAATTTCTTTTCTCAATTAGTTTAAGTCAATTTTATTTTAATTTTAACTAATAATTTTTTAATTAGGTTTAGGTTAAACCCTTTTTATGAAAACCAAACAAAAATCATCTCTCTTTCTTTATATTCTTGTATTTATATATTTATTCAATTATTTGTACATATTCAATATGGTTGTAATAGATAATTAGGTTTAATTTTCTTGCAAAATCCCCATTGGTAATTTGTACACCCCCCTCCCACAAGTATTGTAATAGCGTAGTAACTTTAAATTCCATAATTTATCGCTTTATATACAAATGCTAGTAATTAGGGTTTGTATGGAATGAATAAAATCAATCAAATAGAAAAACCTTATTCAAGACAAAATCAAGCATGGAAATAATACACTTGCACACGAGCACCCCTAGGGTTACCCCACTTGGTTGCCTTATACAAAATGGCCATAATACGCATGTAAGGTATCTTAGCAAAAACAAGCAAATACAAGATCATAATCCCTCGATAACGCTATCT